GGCAATCTGTGGAGCTGGAAGCTGAGAACTGGCGACTTTCTAGTACAACTTTAGGACGCGGAGCAATCTGTGGAGCTGGAAGCTGAGAACTGGTGACTTTGTAGTACAACTTTTAGTACGCGGAGTAGCTGGGGAGCTGGAAGATGAGGGCTGGCGACTTTGTAGTACAACTTTAGTACGCGGCTGAGTCATCTCTATTCTGTATTTTGCAAAATGCATGAACAACGTTTTTTTCCTGCGAGACAGTTGACGGTGGCTGCTTCGCTTTCGCTCCATTGGTCGGTTCCAACTTGTTTTGTCAAAGAACATCGCAGCTCGGCGAATCAGCCTGCCCATTTCCTATAGGTTTATTCTTTTGGAAACTTCCGCCGCCGGCTTGCCCGGGAACTACTTGTAGTAGTACTAGTAGCGGTAGCAGTGGCAGCAGTAGCAGTGGCAGTAGTAGTAGCAGCAGTAGTGGTAGTAGTAGGTGGTGGCGGTAGTAGTAGTAGTCGTCGTCGTCGTAGTAGTAGTAGTAGTAATCGTAGTCGTAGCAGTCGTAGTCGTAGTCGTAGTCGTAGTCGTAGTAGTAGTCGTAGTAGTAGTAGTAGTGAGTAGTGAGTAGTGAGTAGTGAGTAGTGAGTAGTAGTGGTGGTGGTGGTGGTGGTGGTGGTGGTAGTAGTAGTAGTAGTAGTGTAGTACTTGCAGTAGTAGTAACATAGTATTAGTTAGTAGTGGTTGTAGTAGTAGTCGTCGTCGTAGTAGTAGTAGTAGTATTTGTTGTTGTTGTTGTAGTCGTGGTAGTAAGTTGTTGTGGTGGTGGTCGTAAGCAGTAAATAGTATGTAGTCGGTAGTAAAAAGTAGTTAGTAGTAGTAGTTAGTAGTAGTAGTAGTAGTCGTCGTCGTAGTAGTAGTAGTAGTAGTCGTCGTAGTAGTGGTAGTAGTAGTAGTAGTGGAAGCAGTAGCCGTAGTGGTAGTAGTAGCAGCAATGGAAGCAGTAGCAGTAGCAGTTGTGGAAGTAGTAGTAGTAGCAGCAGCAGCAGCTGTAGTAGTAGTAGTAGTAGTAGTAGTCGTAGTAGTAGTAGTAGTAGTAGTAGTAGTGGTAGTAGTAGTAGTAGCAGAGTGGTGGTAGTAGTAGTAGTTGTTGTTGTGGTCGTGGTAGTAGTAGTAGTAGTAGTGGTAGTAGTAGTAGTGGTAGTGGTAGTAGTAGCACGGTGGTAGTGGTAGTAGTAGCAGTAGTCGTAGTAGTAGTAGTCGTCGTCGTCGTCGTGGTGGTGGTGGTAGTGGCTGTGAGTAGCAGTAGCAGTAGCAGTAGTAGTAGCAGTAGTAGTAGTAGGCGTCGTACTGCTACAGTAGTGGTATTACCACTAGTAGTTTTGGTAGTCGTAGCAGTAGCAGCAGCAGTAGCTGGTAGTGGTGTTGGTGGTGGTGGTGGTAGTAGTAGTAGTAGTACTTCTACTACTACTAGTGGTTTGTAGCAGTAAGATTGTCAGACGAGGGTGTCCGACAAGAGTGTCCCACAAAAGTATTCCGCAATAATGCCCCGCAAAAGTGTTCCATGACAAGAGTGTTGCACGAAAATGCTTTGAACAATTTTCCACAAGAGTCTCTTGCAACAGTGTTCCAGCAGAGTTGCCCCACAAGAGTCTCAAGAGTGTCTTACAAGTGTCCTACAAGAGTGTCGCGCAAGAGATTTACAAGAGTTACAGAGCGCCCGACAAAAGAGTGCCCTACAAAAGCGTTTTGCAAGAGTGTCCCACGCGGGTGTTCTACCAGAGTGTCCCAAAAGAGTGGCCTACAAGAGTGTCCCACAAGAGTGTGCCCGAGCGTGTGTCCCGCAAGAGTGTCCCAGAGGGTTTTCTACAAGAGTGTCGCGCAAGAATGTCCCACGCGAATATGCGACAAGCATGTCTTACAAGAATGTCTCACAAGAGTGTCGTACAAGAGTGTTTCACAAGAGTATCCCACCACCAGAGTGTTGCG